CTTTTATTACTTAATCATATTTTGTGACTTAAGTCTTATAACCAACAGAGTCATTCTTTGTAACCATGCAATAAATTCTGGTGCTACTGTTATATGGAAAATGGATGTAATTTTTTATTATATGATTTTTGCCTTCATATGATGTGATAGAAAACAAAAACGAGACAACTGTCCAGATGCCTTTAATTGACATCTAAGGAGACTATAATTCTCAGTGGTGATATTTTGATCATATAATTTTCTCATTTATTTTTTAAAAATTTGTCTATTGATTCAATAACTAATGGTATAACACCCAGATTAGTCTTATATCAGCGATAACAAGACTAAGATTGGCTTAAGCATTATGACCAATAGCTTGGGTCAAACGAAGTTGATAAGCCAATTAGCCCATCAGGCCCGAGTCATGATATTTGGTATTAGAATCGACCTAGTATTTGGGCATGATGAGATGACTCAAGTAGGAAAGGGCTACCGGTGAATGGAGTCAAAGGACTCGTTACGACGTGCAGTCACCACTGGGTTATGTCTCACATACACCATACTAGGATTTGATTTAGGATATGTTGGGTTTTGACGATGACATCAAACCCTTGAGTATGAGAGATTATAACACCCCGATTAGTCCTACATTGGAAGTGACCAGGGCTAAGATTAGCTTATATCGGCCTGATGAGCGAATTGCTATCAACTTCAGCTTAAGCATTATAACTAGTGGTTTGGGTCAAACAAAGTTGATAGGCCGGTTAGCCCATCAGGCTCGAGTCATGACATTCGGTATCAGAGCCGACCTAGTATTTGGGTACGGTGAGAGGGCTCCAATAGGAAAATGCTACCTGTGGATGGAGTCAAAAGACTCGTCATGACATGGAGCCACCATTAGGTTACGCCTCATATGCACTATATTAGGGTTTGATCTAGGATATGTTGGGCTTTGATGAGGACGTCAAGCCCTTGAGTGAGGGAGATTATGACATACCGATTAGTTCTACATTGGAAGTGGACAAGACTAAGATTGACTTATATGGGTCTGATGAGTGAACTACTATCAATTTCAGTTTAAGCATTATGGTCAGTGGTTTAGGTCAAATAAAATTGATTGGCCAATTAGCCCATCAAGCCTGAGTCGTGACAAATAGCATCTCATGCATAGATTCGTGCTGGGTATTTGCTTATCTTTTTCCTGCTATGCTTTAAGGAAACTTAATATCGAAAAATTCACTTACATTGTAGTCATTTTTTTGTATGATGATATTGGAAATTCATTTTTGTATATCGTTGAATTGAATTACAACATCTTTGTGCTTAACCTTCTGATCATAAACTTGAATCCTTAGTTAATCTAAATGTTGAGTCTTGTTTATAGAACACAAGCAGTGATCCATCATACATTAATTCATGGTGAGCCGTAAATGTTTGCTTGGAAGCAATAAGAGGTGCCACTTTATCTCTCTATCTATGCTGTATTTGGCCTGTACTTTTCTCCCAACATTTGCTGTTAGCTAGTTGTGGAACCTTTTGTTACCTTGCTTTTTTTTCTTTTAGTACTTTCAATATGCTTGGAGTTGCCTGCAGCCCAAAATTTTTGATGCTCAAGACAAAGGTTGATTGTGATGCTTAAGAAGTTTTATGTTCTTTTATTTTTTTTGGTAAGTAAAGCAGACTTTTTTACTTGGGATATTTATTGTATGCTTTCAAATATCAAATTCTCTGGATCTATAACTCTTATATATTATTATGAGTTAAACCAATTAGAATATTTGCAGTGCCACAATGGACACACCCTATGTTCAGCTTGTAAGTCAAGGGTACATAATCGTTGCCCCACATGAAGGCAAGAGCTTGGAGACATCAGATGTCTGGCCTTGGAGAAAGTGGTGGAGTCACTCGATCTTCCTTGCCGATATTTTTCGCTGGGGTGCCCTGAAAGATTTCCATATTACAGCAAACTCAAGCATGAAGCTCAATGCGATTTCAGGCCGCACAACTGCCCCGATGCTGGTTCTGAGTGTTCTGTTGTTGGGGATATTCCATTCCTCGTTGCTCATTTAAGGGAGGAACACCAGGTAGATATGCACGTTGGTTCTGCATTCAACCATAGAAATGTGAAATCCAATCCCAGAGAGGTTGAAAATGCTTCCTGGGTGTTGACTGTAAGTATGCTAAAACACCCCAAAGTTGACCTATTGTGATTAAGTAGGGTTTAAGTTTACTGTCGAGTTATTTTAGTTAAAGTGTGCTGTCTATGAACATGCGCTTGGAGAGAACTTCATCGGCTGTTGGATGATCATACATGGTTTAAATTTATTGTACTGTATACATCCTGTTTAGTCATATGTCATTCGATCTATTTTCTCTTTGGTATCATACCATTTGCTCTATTGCGCTCGTCTCTCTCTCTCTCTCTCTCTCTGCAGGTGTTCCACTGTCGTTTCATGGGTGATGAGAATGAAGCAATGCACTGTAGCTACAGCCTTGAAGTTGGTTCAAATGGCAGGAAACTTACGTGAGAAGGCACCCCTCGGAGCAATCGTAACAGCCACCAGAGTTCGAGACAGCCATGACGGTCTCATGATTCAGAGGAACGTGGCACTTCTCCGGTGGAGACTGGCAGGAGCTGAAACTGCGGGTTTCTGGTGGTCGCATATGGAAGGAGCAGCAGAATCTCGATAGTGGAGCATGCGGTATTGAATCCCTGTGACTGATAGTCCACAAGCTTTTGTCACTGGTTGTGATTGTGCGAAGCAGGTGCATCCATGACGCTGCTGCTGTCAATATTTGGCTGTGCTTTCCATTGTTCAGTTGAATTGTTGAGAGGAAGGATATGTATGGATATAATAAGCAAAGCTTATCTCGGTGTTATTCTGAAAGAGAGCATTTTCTGTTTTTTTTTAATCTCATGTTATTTCATAGTGTATTTCTTGGATGCCGGAATATCTATCTGTAAATTTTATGATTGATGGACGACTATTATTTGGTTATCTGATAGCAAATCACATCTTGATTTGTGGCCATTGCCTGTATAATGATTGATGGACGACTATATATATATATACATATATATATATGAATATATATATGTACATATATGTACATATATATATGTACATATATGTACATATATATATGTACATATATGTACATATATATATGTACATATATGTACATATATATATACATATATATATATATATATATATATATTGAATAAAAAATTTAAAATTATAAAACCTAACCACCTGAGCCAACCAAAGGTCAACTCTAAATACGGTAGTGTGGTGTCGGTGGACCCCTCCTTTGTATTCTTTTCAGGGGGCAGATAACTTGACGGTTAGTAGTAGAACAACAATGGCATAAATAGAAACCACATAAAAGAAGCATGAACAATCGAAATGATCTCGAATATTTAGAACGTAATCTCTCTTTCTCTGCTGACTTCGCATCAAGATGATCATAGATCAGACTCTTTTCAACCTGTTAAACTTCCAAACAATTTTGTTAACGTTCCACGGAATCTACCAAACATTCTAAATGACTATATTTTGACATGTAGAAAAACTGAACATCGTCGAATAAGATTTTCTCGGTACACGAAAACAGTAGAAACACACGTTAAAAATATGACGACTCACCCAGTTATCAATCTTTCATGAGCTGTAGTAGTCATTGAAGTTTCTTCTTCTTCTTCTTCTTCTTCTTCTTCTTCTTCTTCGAGCTTCCAGTAAGGTGTAGCCAGCTAGTGGTTAGCTCTAAGCATGTCCTGCAAGTTCACGGGATAGCAGATGGACGCATGCTTGCTGTCCCACACATCATCCGCGATGATCCGGTTGACTGCATCCATGGAATGGAAGTCATCCCACCACACATGGGTCGAAGCATTGCTGCAAGCCATCTCCGGCAGCAGGCACATGATGAATCCTCCCTACTTCCCAAGAGCGCAGCAAGCATCGGTGACTGTCTGGAAACCTGCGAGGAACGGAACGGTGAGCTAACGAGCTCCGCTATTTCCATGCTAACTCATAACCGATAACTCACTCACCGTAGAGCTGGCGATTGGTTAGTATGTCCATGGAGCCCTCAAAAGCATCACAGAAGGTGAAGGTGGCATTTGGGAGCTCACGGTTGAGCTCATGCACCATGTACCTCATGGCATAGTTGAACTCCATCACCACGTTATTGATTGCATCAACACACTCCCCATTCTCACTGGCGGATAGCCACAGGTAGTGAGGAGTGCAGCCAATCGGAGCCAGCCCCGTGAGCACCACTCTTCTCATGGTCTTATCATACAGACTCTGCAGTCATGAAACAACTTAGCAGAAGCCAAACACAGCCCAAGCACAGGAAATAGACACACAAAGCTTTCTCCATCTCAAGTAACAATACCTGATGCAGAACGCAGACCTAAATCGCACTGGTATTTGGTAGTGAAGCTCAGAACAAATTCAATGATCAGCAGACCATGATAAGAAATTAAGAGAAAACAATTTAACTTTTTTAGAGATTTCATATCAGATCTTTTCAGAACAGGAAGTCATTGAAATCAAGGCATAATCACCAAACATGTTGTTAAGTCTTATAAATAATATGGACTCCTTTCCTACTAGCTTTGGCCATTGTAATACTAAATCGTAATATCGGTTTCATGAGTATGTCTAATTTATCTTGTACTTGAGAAAATTATTAATTCGTATCACATATATTAGACCCTTTCCTAACAGTTGGAATTAGTGACGATTCAATTCTTATCACATATATTAGACCCTTTCCTAACAGTTGGTATTAGTGACAACTCAATCGAAATATTTATTATAGACCATATCCATATTTCAAAGTATAGTTGGGACACTTTGGAATCAAATTTGAAGCCTTCCAAATCATTGACTAAGGAAACGCTAAATGCAGCCAAGATTCCTTTGGGTGTGACAATCTAGTCAACCATAGCATTCAATAGCCATTATCAAAAATTTATAGAAAAGATATATTAGGTGTATGGATGCAAGATCAACATGAACTCTGCAAAATTAAGGAATTTAACTAAAAATGTATTCTTTTCCTAGTCTCCGAATTGATCACACTATCAAAAGGCAGCATTTGCTCCACTAGAAGGTTAAATTAGTCAAGACAATCAGTAAATAATTGATCACAAGTCAATGAGCAAAATGGAGTAGGAAATGACAATATATATGCCATAGCTAGAAAGGGCGCTTTGAGGAAGGAGGTTGACCTTGAGCGCCTGCTTCAAAGTGGTCACTAGGAGCTGGTTGAACTCCCATGGCAGGTACAACACCTGCGCGCTCGAAGTATTTTGCAGGTAGTAATGTATAAAGTCATTGCTCCCGATCGAGACGTAGAACACCGACTTCGAGATGAGGTCCGCCGTCGCCTCCTCCCCTAGGCTTAGCTCGAACTGCTGGAAGGTGTCCGATACCTGCTGGATCTGCTGCGACAGAGAAATGTGCTGCCCCTGCCGCAAGAACGATGAGCATTTGACACCAAATCCCGCGGCAAAGTCTCGTCTACCTCAAAGAAGATATCAATTGGGTAACGAACTCACCAAATCGGAATCGCTCGAGAAGAGGATTCCGGAGGCGGCCGACGCGTAGTTCACCCCGCGGATCATGTCCTCGATCTTCCCGCTCCGGCCCAAGAACGGAGGAACGAAGGGCAACCCCAGCCGGACCGCTGCATCAGATGAGGAGAGGGTGGGTGAGAACGGGTCAAGAAATCGGAGTTCTTGAAAAGACGGGTTCTTTGACTAGGGTTGCCGACCGAGGTAGTCGACGATGATGCGGCCGTTGGAAAAGCGGCCGGTGGGGCGGTGGGTGTCGAATTCGCGGCCGTAGGGGGGTCGATCGGCGCGGGCGAGGGTTCCGAGGTAGTTGTTGGTGCCGGAGTCGACGATGGAGTCTCCGAGGACGAAGAGAGCGGGGACGAGGGGGAAGGGCGATGGCGAGGGCGGCGAAGGGCTGGAGGAGGCGACGAGGACACCGGACGAGGTGCGGCTGCGGCGTTCTTGGAGAGAGGGGGAGGGGAAGAAGAGGAGGAGGAGGAGGAGGATGCGTAACCGTTATTATTAAATATCTAATTTAATAATAATATAACTGTTCTCATTCATAATTTATTATCATAATTTTTTTTATTTATTATGATTTAAATAATTTCATTTTTTTATTTTTTATACATGAAACTGTTATTATTAAATTAAATATTTAATATCATTAAAGTTCTTCACGTTAAGAATTAATTTTTGAACGTTATGATTTGGTGATTATAAATGTTGAGAGAACATTTATATATATATATATATATATAAGGATTTTGGTCCTTGGGCTTAATCATTTCTTTGAAGCAAAAAGGTTTTCTTACACCATCTAAAGCGAGAGTTCTGAGAAGTACCAAAGTTCAAGAAAAAACCTCTGCAAAAATTTTTTAACAACAATGACCGGAGATACGCTATTTTGTTTCCGCATCAGTTTTTATTGTGTTTCTATTATAATGATTTAGAAACACAAGTTGATTTCAGTGATTTCTTACATTTGGTATCAGAGCCTTTTGATCTCTGTCTTGATACGAAATAATTTTTATTTTTATGTCACGAAAATGATTTGATTTTGGTTTTTTCTTGAAAACTTCTTGATATATTTTATTGAAAATCATGAGGAAAAATCAATTTCAATATTTTAGTTGGTAAAAATGCTCATATTATGTATGCATATTTAGTTATATTAAATTATACTTATGAGCAAATTTTTTATATTTAAAATGTCTAGTGATCTATATAATCTTAATTAATTAAGAATTAGTCACAACATCCTTAATTAATTAAAATTATATATAATATTAAAATAAGGATCACATAAGTAATTAGACATCATATTATGACTGATTATATTTCATATAATAATTATTATCCCATAGGATCTTTTATTATATTTAATATAATTAATCATGATAAAATATCAGATTATTTTCATAATTTACCCACAGGGATTATGAATTGGAATATAATTTGATAGTTTTATCATAAAGACCATATGAATCTATTTGAATTAAGAATTTAGCCCACAAGCAATTTTTATGTCATGAGATTCATATTTTTGGCATGTTTCACATTGGTAAAACATATAATTTAGTCTATTAAGCTTCAAATTTTGACATAAGCGTGCTTGATTTTATGTAGTTTCTCAAACTGTTAATTTCTCTGATATTCGATATAATATTCCCAAACTTAATAGTGATAACTATAAGATATGGAAGGAGAGGGTTCTCCTCCATTTAGGGTGGATGGATATCGATTATGCTATCAGGAAAGATAAACCACCTATAGTCACTAATATCAGCACTCCAACTGAGATCACGTTATATGAGCGATGGGAGCGATCCAATTGGCTCAGCGTGATGTTTATCAAAACTAAGATGATTGCTAGCATACGTGGTTCTGTTGACCAGCATGAAAATGTCTGAGACTTGCTAAAAGCTATTGATGAACAATTCATCACTTCGGATAAGGCACTAGTAAGTACCCTAATAATGAAATTCTCATCCCTTAGAATCACCAACATAAAGGGTGTGTGTGAGCACATAATGCAAATGAGAGATATTGCGGCTCAACTTAAGAAACTTGAGGTTAATATGTCAGAATCCTTCCTGGTGCACTATATTTTGAACACCCTTCCACCTCAATATGACCCTTTTAAAATTTCATACAATACACATAAGGACAAATGGTCAATCAATGAATTAATGACCATGTGTGTTCAAGAAGAAGAGAGGCTAATGATGAAATTGGGTGAGAGTACATTGGTAGTAACCACTCACGGGAAGAACAAAACTGACAAACATCAAGCCAATCAGAAAGCTCATCAGTAGGGAAAAGGTAAAATACCACCCCAAGCTGATATCAAGAAAGAAGCAAAGTGTTTCTTTTGTAAAAGAAAGGGACACATGAAGAAGGAATGTATGAAATTCCAACAATGGCTTGAAAAAAAGGTAAACCAATCTCATGTGTGTGTTATGAATCTAATATGGTTAATGTTAATATTAACACCGGGTGGATTGACTCTGGATCAACAATCCATATTGCAAACTCTTTGCAGGGTATGCAAAACCTAAGGAAGCCAGTGGGAAGTGAGCAAAGCATCTTATCAAGAAATAAGATGGGTTCACATGTGGAGGCAATTGAAATATACATTTTAACTTTAAGTAGTGGTTTTGTTTTAAAATTAAAAATGACCTTTTATGTACCAAGTTTCTCACAAAACTTAATTTCTGTTTCCAAAACTCGTATCA